CCCCCCCTTCCTCATCGTCTCTCTTTCTCCCCGTTTCTTTCTCCACAGAGACACGTTCGAATTAACAACACACCGTGCATCGATCTATCCGTTGCTCGCGAGGACGTTTCGTCTGCCTGCAGAGGAGCGGCGGCGTCACAATTGCCTTCGATCCGATTACAAATTCGTGGAAGACTGCGATTTACATATCCCGCATACCTCGACAATGTATGGCGCGAAGGCAGCTATTTTTGATCCGGCCGGCTTATCCATCAAACCGGGTGACCGCGCATCGCGCTTGATATCCCCCGAATGGAGACCACTATCGCGAATATATTTCTCGTAGATAACAACCGGTTTCGCGCATCCACGACAAGGCGAGTCCCGTACACGAGGCAAGGTCCCAGGTACGTTTCCACGACGATGACGGGGACGATCGTCGAGCATCGAGTCGCCCATTAGGAGCCAACCGAACGGCCATTTCTTTCGCCCTTTTCCCGCGTCGACCGGTTAGCGTAAACGCGTTCATCAAGATGTAGCCCTCCGAGAGGGTGGAAACGGAGAGAGAGGGGTCCGGGGTGACCAAGGGCAGTCCACGTCGAGGCAGGTGTGCGGTTGGCACGACTCCGCCCCTCGTCACCGGTCGTAACTAGGGTTGATATCTAACTTTGTCCTCCGTTCTGTTCTCTCTCTCTCTTTTTCTCGCTCGCTCACTCTTCTCTCTCTCTCTCTCTCGCCCTGCGAGAGCTCGACACTCCTTTTCAGATATGGTCGTCATGCCTTACGCTTTATCAGCGCGTTACCGCGGCCATTCCGGGATGGTAGACGCCATCTTTCCGCGACCGTGCACGCACGAGGGGTTGCTCGAGGTTCGCCGCGCATCTTTCTATCCGGTTCTATCCCGAGGCGGCGACGGCCGTCCGCCTGCGCACCACCACCACCGACCGCCGTCTGCTCGTGGTCGCGTTTGAGTTTAATCAGCCACGAGGCCGCGGCAGGGACTGGTTTGCGGTCCCTTTGATCCACCCGCTTTCCGCAACGGCGACCTTGCGAGTCCTCGTGAGACAGGTTGAAAACAAGCCGGGGACGGTACAGGACGCTCGCGGCCGAGACTAGAAGAATCGAGGACCGACGTCGCGCG